AAAGTAATGAAATTAAAAAAAAACAAAAACAAGGGAAAACTTACAAGCTGCTAGGTGATTATGAACTATTTTGGTTAAAGAGTAGGCGGACTGGAGTTCAAAGAATTGAAGAAACTCACATCTCAACAAGCTAAAAGCTATCAAAAGAGCCTGAGTAACAGCCTTTCACCCCAACCCCAATACCTCAACATAAATTCATGACACAGAATGATGTTTGAAATAATGGGTGTTTTGTTTTAAAGTTTCAAGTCCCAGGTGTTAACGCTTACTACTGGAGTCTGGAATGCCCAGATTGGGCTTGACAACTTGTTCAACATGCCTGGGTCTTGTTGGGACGCAACACACGGTTAATGCAGGTGGTCAAAGCAGACAATTTAAAAATACACTGTTGTTATGATTTTGAGTAGGTCTTAATGAAAACCAAATTTGAAAGTATAGTGGTGAGACATGAAAGCCATGGTTTGATTAAAGGGACTTGAACTAGACAGCTTCCAAAAAGTCTAAAACAGATGATTCTTAAATGGTCATACCTTTCCATTTTTACAGCTCCACCTATGTATATTGGATAGCCATTACTCCCCTTGAGAAAAGCCTCTTCTCAAGTTTTTTTTCCTCCTCAAGTTCTTTCCCAAAGTTGCTGCCAAAATCAACTTCCTCTGTTGCCATTCTGACAGTGTCACTCCCTTCCTAAATTCCCTTTAATGGCCTTTGCTGGTATTTGTGTGAGTGGCAGACTTCTTGCCCTGCTTTAGGACAAACACACTATTCCTGCCCAGTTTTATTTAAGGCTCCTACCTGTTTTTTACAAAACCATGTCATTTTCCTCTCTATGTAGGCTGATTACATTTTGGCTTCACACCTTTTTTATGTCCATTAATATTTAGATTGTAAACATTTTGTTTAGTTTTGGTCAATAAGAGTTCCTCATTTTACCTCTACCTTCTCCTTCACCCCCACGCCAACACAAATACACACATGACTAAAAATCTCTAGCTCTATTTGCCTTATTCAAATTTCTCCTGAAATTTGATTATTTTTGTAAGAACTACACAAGTAATCATCCACACTGAAAATTTTTATGTTATAAAAACCAACAACAGCAAAGACAAAATTTTCTTAAAAGACAAAAATAATGTTGTGGAATTTCCCTAAGGAGTGAAGAGATTTTTCAGAATGAGTCACAGGAAAAAAATATCTAATATTGTTAAGATGGGCAACTTCTAGGGAAAGGTTCTTCAATTTCTGAACTAGCACCGTTGCTGTTTTTTTTTCTTTTTCGTCTTTTTTGTTTTTAAACCCAAGAGACCTGAATTCTTATCTCAGCTTTGTTGTTTGCAAGTTGTTATTTTTATCATTTAATCTCTTTGAGCATCAGTTTCTTGTTTGTAAAGTGGAAATAATATCTATAAGATTTTCTGACGATTCAATAGCATTTGCAAAAATGCTTTGTAAAGTAAAAAGTGCTACACAAATACAAGATATTATTATTACTTCCTTCAAATGTTCTCTTTTAACTGAGAACTTTCCCAGGATTTCCCCTTTCCCATGTGTTTTTATCTGGAGGTAAATCTGGTAGTGTAGTTATAAACTTACCTTCTGAACAGGAAACTGCTCTAAATCTTTCAGAATATTGAGTATTGTTACTGATAATTTCTTCTGTCATCATTGTATTTTATAGGAAACCAGATACACTAATCTCATTTTTATGATTATAATTTTTAAAATATAGAAAGTATATAAATGAAACTCTCCAAAACACTATTAAAATTTTTAGATAATCTCTCCTAACAGTCTCATAAATGTTCTTCCAGGATTTGTTTTCCTTATTTTTGTTTTATTTATTTTTTTACAAACATGGAATCATCCTGTATGTTTCAAGTCTTGCATTTTTTTGGTCTTTGCAGGATTTTGTGAACATCTTTCCATGTCAGTCCATGTGTTAATTTATCAAGATTCTTTTTGGGACAAGAATGAGATACCAATTCAAAATAAATTAGATTAAAAAAGGATTTCTTTTTTGCTCATGTAACTGCAAAGTCCAAAGACAGATCTGTACGTCATGTGCAGCTGGATCCAAGCACTCTAAAGATAACATCAAGAATCAATCTCTTGGGCTGGCCGAGTGGCGCATTGGTTGAGCGTTGGCTTGGGACGCCAGCTCTGAGCAGCAGGGCCCCGTTCAGATTCCACATTAGGGCCAGTGACACCGCCCTCTACAGCTAAGATGGTGAACAACAGCTCGACCTAGAGCTGGGCTGCCGAGAGTTGCCGGTTACAGTGTAGGCTGCAGCCCTTGCTGCAGTGGGTTGCCGTGAGCTACCATGAGTAGCCGTCAGCCAGTGTGAGCTGCCAAGAGCTGCCATGAGTGGCCATCCAGGGCCAGTGACCAATCTGCCTCACCGGGGAAGAGAGCAATGATAATACCAACATGGGCCAGTGAAGCGACATCCTCCACAACTAGACTGAAGAACAAAAGGACAGCAACTTTTCTGTTCCCCTTCCCCGATTCCCCAATGCTGTTCCCCTGCCCCAAATCCCCAATAAAATCTTAAAAAAAAACCAAAATCAATCTGTCTGTCTCTCTCCCTCTCTCCCCCACTCTCTGCCTTCCTCTGCAGTGGCTTCCTTCCCCTGTGGGCACCAGCAGTTTACCAACGCCCTTGGAAGGAGTGCACCTCTTTCCCAATAACTTTCCGCCAAAATCCCAGACAATCATCTGACAACATGTGTCAGGGCCCATAGCTAGATGTGAGGAGTAGAGTCAGCTCCAACCACACCACACTAACTGAAAGTGAGCAACACATGGGGTCACAAAGGAAAATCAGGCACTGCTACCAAAAGAAGGGAGCAAGAGGCCAGCAGGTGCACCAATAAATGTTGCTATGGAACATATAGATCTGTGTCACCATGTGTGATAGTTTCATTTTTAACTTGACAATTGGATGGTAACTTGTTTAACTGATCTATCGGCTAAGCTATTCTTATCAAATAGTCTAACCTAATATATTTTATACTTACTTTGTCTAATTTAAAAAAAAATTTAAGTATCTTTAGTACTCAACTGATTTCATGTTTGTTACATAATATATCACAGCTTTCTCATCAATTGTCAGTGCTTCACATGAAAATGAATCTACCATGTGTTATGGGTTGATTTATATATCTCCAAAATATGTGGAAGTCCTAACCCCCAGTACCTTAGAATGTGACCTTATTTCAAAATAGGGTATTTACAGAGGTAATCAAGTTAAAACAAAGTCATTAGGGTGGACCCTAGTCCAGTATGACCGGTATCCTTATAAAAAGGGGAAATTTGGATACAGAGACAAACCCACAGAGGAAGACCATGTGGAGACACAGGGAGAAAATGGACATGTGACTGGAGTGATGTACAAGCCAAGGAACACCAAGGATTGCCAGCAAACACCAGAAGCTTCTAGAAGCAAGGCAAGATTCTTTTCTAGAGCCATAAGAGTATGACTCTACTGACACCTTGATTTCAGACTTCTAGTTTCTACAACTGTGAAATAATAAATTTCTGGTTTTAAGCCACCCAATTTTTGGTACTTTGTTATGGGATCCTTAGAAAACTAATACATCGTACTTAACTTTCCTGGAGGACTCCACTTCAAAATGTTAGTGAAATGCAAATAAAAACAACAGTGAAAAGATCACTTTATGTGTAAAAGACTGGCAAAAGTTAGAAAGGCAGGTTGTACAGTCAGGTTGAGAAACTACTATATGAATACACAACAGAAAACCAGGAAATAGTATCATATCAAAAGTCGAAAGAAAGATAACTTTATGTAGGGAGTGATTAAGAGTATTAAATGCTGCACAGATATAAAAATCAGATGTAAAAGGTATTCAATTCAATTAGCAACTAAGAAATATCATTAGTAACCTTTGGAGAAGTTCAGAGGAAAATTGGGGTTAAAAGATTGTAGTTTGAGAAATGACTAGGAAGTGAGACACTGGATATATGGAAGGTAGATGACTTTTTCCAGAAAAACACATAATCATCCACTTGACAACCCTGATAACAAGCCATGGTTCTAAATGACAGGAAATGTGGTGAATTAAAAAATATGTTCATAAAGCGTTTGACAGGCTTCCCTTCAAGAGGCAGAGCTTAATTTCCCCTCCCCTTGAGTGTGGGCTGGACAAAGTGACTGGCTTCTAACAACAACAAAAATATGGAGGAAGTGATGGTGACGGCCTCTCATAAAAGGCATGACAGGTTCCTCCTCTTTCTCTCTTGGAAAACTCCCTCTGCAGAAGCCGGTTGTCTGATCATGAGGACACTCAAGCAGCCCTGTGGAGAGAAACGGAAGCCCTTGCCAGAAACCATGTGAGTGAGCTGTTTTGGAAATGGAGACTCCAGCCCCGAAGTGAAGCCTTCAGGTCATTGTAACTACAGCCTGCATCTTGACCAGAGCCTCATAAGAGACCCTGAGCCAGAACCATGTACGTAATCCACTCCTGAACCCCCAACCCACAAACACTATGAGAAAATGAAAATATATTGTTTTAAGCTGCTAAATTTGAGGGTAATTTGTTACTCAGCAATGGATAGCTAACACAGGGATTATATAGATAGTAAACAATTTAAATCCTTACATGGCTGATACTAGTCCTTAGGTAGACTTTATGACATATCATATAAGATTTATCAGAAATCTCCCTTGTGTTTTATCCAAATTGGTGTAAGTATCCATCCATATATGCTTAGGTTGCACTTATTTAGAAGAAAATTATATCATTTAATTCTAAGTGGTGAGCAGTTTTCTTTTTTTTATTATGCGGGTATTTGGATGTATATATTTTATGCTGGTTTTATAAATTAATGATCTCTACAAAAGATGATATCCCTGTCTTCTAAAATTAGAAATGCCCACATTTTATTCGTTTATGGTTTCATGTCTGGCTTTAGCATTTGTCATTTAAATTTGGGAAAACATTTGAAAGAAAGTAATCAATTTTTATTGCTTTCATTAGAGCATTTTCTTTGTCAACTATGGGAATGGAGTTCATACTTTGTTGATTTTCATTCTTTCTCTAAATTACCTTTATAATTTTCTTTGTTTACCTTTTCTCTACTCAGAAATCTCTACTTTTTTCTTTAGATGTATAAAGAACGTTTTAAAAATCATTTCAAATAGTGGTTTTTTAAAAATTAGATCATAGATGCACGGAATTTGATTAATCATACTCTTTGGTTGATGGCCCATTATCAACACCACCCCTCCCCCCACCCTTTTAAAATTAATTTTTGTCACTTTAAATACTCCATCCCGGCCCCCAGTTTTTTCCCTGCCCAGATCCCACACACAAAGATTCTGCTTGAATTAGTTTGGGGTGGGATATCAGTCTCACTATTTTTAAGAATCTGTTCAGGTGATTCTAATACATAACCAAGTTGAGAACCCGTGTGTAGGGGACCCTTCCTATTCAAACGTGATCCTAAGGCCAGAAGCATCTGCTTCACTTGGGAAAATGCTGAATTTCCATTCCCATCTCAGACCCGTTCCATCGAATCTGCTTTTTAAACAAATTCCCCAGGTGATCATAAGCACGTTAAAGTTTGAAGGCACTGATACAAAGCATGGGCTAGATTCATATCCTGGCTCTACCGTTTATTAGCTATGTGAACTTGAATAAGTACTTCACCTCCCTGTACCACAAATCCCTCATCGCTAAACTGAGAATAATAGTACCTACTACCTATAGGGTTGTTTTGAGGATTTCATACAATATTGTGCTAAAATGTTTAGAACAGGGTTTGATTCATTGTAAGTACACAACAAATGTTAAGTATTATTAATTACCTTTTCTTGGCTTAAACTTTAAACATTTGGTGGGAGTTGTTAAAATATATATATTTTTAAACTTTCAGAGAACGGAATTTTAAGGCCCACTCTTTTAGTAGTTGTTATTATAAAATGAATTATTCACTTTGTGGTTCTAATCTCATAAAACATAATTTCAAAACTGAGATTGATGTGTAGAACCCAGCTGCAAAAATTCAAAATCAGCTACATGCAGCTGCACTCTGGTTCCCCTAATTCATCTAATAGCTTTTAGTGGGTTTTATAAGTGACATTAGAAAAGGCACAGCAGATGTGCGAGATGGCTCCTGAAATCTAAAGTGGGACAGATGGTTCTCTGGTTGATTGACAGCATGAGGAGCACTGCAGCAAGGGTCACCTCCTGTGGAAGATACCCCTCTATCCCCCCACCCCTCCACCCCCACCATCCTGCCTGCAAATGAAAGAAAAGCAGGGATGGCTATTCAGAAGAAAGTCTTTGTTTTCAAATATTCTTTGCAGTGAAAAGATTCTCAGCAAAAGAGTCACCTAGATATGGAAAAAATTTCTCCAGCTCTAACCTTTAACAAAGAGCTGACTTTTTGCTTAGTTACAAAGTAGGCAGATTTCATGTTTGAACACAATACTCAGGATACTGGATCTGGAGCTGAGATTTAAGAAAGAACAAAGAAATAATGTAATTGGATTTATCAGCCACCAAACAGCATTGATTAGTACCAGACTATTTCACTATTGGAAGCCCTATATTGCTCTTAAAGATAAACTTCTTGTTTTAAATTTTAATTGGAAAGCTGGGCAACTATTTGCAATTGTTAATCAGGGATTTACAGTCCAGGCTACATTTATGCTTACCCCTCTCTCTTTTTTTCAAATTCCTTTCTAGTACTTCAGATCTTCAAGAAAAAAAAAAATTTTAAACCTTACATTTATTGCATGTAAACTAAGTGCTGGACCCTGTGCTAGGTGCTTTCTTATAACTTTGTATGATTTAGGATCTCAGAGATACTAATTAAATCTTTGTTCTTAGGTTCATATTAGTACGAATGGAGCCCTAATTTTATCGATGGTTCTCTTCACCTCTTCTTCTGTAAAAGAGAAGCCAAGCACAAAATACACACCAGGAAAATATGTCCAAGCATACGTTCAGAA